GGTAATAGAAACGTAGGCACCTTGTCAACATACACATCAAGCGCAGCCACACTGGGGATATCAAACAACAACCATTCACTTTAAACGATAAGCTGAAATAAAATAAATCCAATAATGCCTACAGATACGGTGGCATAACTCTTCGCTAAATTACCATATGAAGTAAGTTGGTTAGCAACGAATCCAAGATAAGTAAGAAATGTCCACAGGTTGCTTAAAAATGCTACAAACGCAACAAAATTACCGAAGATAAGCGCAATTAGCGTAAACAGCGTGGCCAGTTAATAGAACATTATTCAGGTAGGCAAAATAAACCAAATAATGTGGAATGAAATTTAACCAGCTTAAACAGACCTAGTTTAAGTGTAAGTTGGTTTAGCCCAACTGCGTTGAAGAAGCATCAAAAATGCAACATCAGCCTCAGCATGGGGCATGTAAACGCTACATAACGGTTTAATAATGTACAATGATTTAAACACTGATACTTCACGTTCCACGTTGGAACTCTTTGATTTTAATTTTCTTTTGCATATCCATCCTATGGATCTTGTAAACTTATGCTTTGTATCCCATCATACACTATTGAACTATTGAACATGCAATGTTCACTCAACTTGCATGATGGTGAGATATCGGAGGTTGCACTCCAATTCTCTCCCAATTCCAAGGAAAATTAAGTGGTTTGTATTCCTGAGGATGTAATGAAGAAGTTACCTATGCTGGTGGCCAAACGTTTGCGGCTAAAGTGTTCAGTTCGGAGGACAACCGGGCGCTGTCTGTCTGCTTTGTATGGATAACGAATGCCTTTAGATATTTATCCCGTATAGTATTGTTCCTTTGTTAAGTTATGACATACAGTCCAAAGGTGAATCAACTCGATCACACCCTACGCGTTTTATCGCGACCGGTCAGCTTCCATCATCCTGTGCCAAATGTATTGAGGGGACAGAAAACATATCCGTTTTCCTTTTTCAAACAATTGGTCATACTATTCTTCGGCGATCCTTTACTAAAGCAGCATCCCAAAAGCTACTTGTCGTACGGATATTGTGACCACAACATTTGTTGTGAACGGCTATCTTGATCGCAAGGGAGAGTTTAAGAGCACTTCAGGAACTGTTTTTAAAACTTCATATAATTGACATTACTGATCAGCTTAATTCCCCTGTTGATACTTGTGCTATACTTCGCATCCTGCAGCGTGGCACCCACTCAAACAATTTAGCTAATCATTTGGTAACAAGTACTTTTAGCTGTTTTGAACCGTAGGCGGTAGCCAAGCAGGAATTTTGTTATCCACTGTTTTACTTATCATGTATTCCAAATTTATACGCCTAAAATATTCATATAAGACATGTAGCATGTTCTTACCAATCAAATCGAAGTGTTTACTTGCCATATCAATTATTTTAAACTGATCCCCCGATTTTGTCATATTAAGCTCGCCTTTTAAATAGTTTTTCGGTTATGGGAACTATGTACATCATGCGATCCTGGTCAGGGAATTAGACTCGTTGAGACCTTTCCTGCATGTCATATTCCTAGATACTTTTACTTTGCTGCTGTAGTTGTCGCGGTCCTAAATCCCAAATTATAACTACACATATTTTGTATCAAGCATAAACCTTTATATTACTCACGAGTAGCATGATTTAGTTGTAACTCTGCAAAATTATGTATTCCAGCCAGTGTCTCCATGGCTCAGCGGCTTAAGTTGCTGACTAGTTGGCATCTGCCTCTAGAGCTCATGGGTTTGATCCTCCTTAGGGTACCGAGGTACTGCGTACCACTGACGACCTCCAATAGGGCGAAACTCGTCTTTGCTTTTCCGGTCTAGGCTCTATTAGGTAGCTAGTGAACTATTGGGAAGGAAGCATTACTAGCAGGAACATTCAACCTAAAGTTTAGCTTTCCAAACTGACACATTTTTACCAAATGAAATCCGTTTACTAATTTCTTAACTAACTGAAAGCGTATCGCTTTCAAATTGCTCATTGAACAAATCATGATCCTCCATAGATCTCTCAACATAGTACTTAAGACTTTAAAGTTGTATGCAACGGGCCCAAACATTCATGAAAAATGTGTACCGTTCATTGAGTGAACCATCTCAGCTCAGAAGATAGCATAACAGATAATTACACAGAGTAGGATGCCAATGACTGATTTGGGTTTGACCACTCAATAGACAGTCGCATTTAGGTACGTTCCTTCCCACTGGATGCGTCTTGCAAACATTAATTACCATTTTGAGCGACCCGTAGGAAAACCCAAGTAATTTAAGGAGGAATTTGAAAGCGCCGTGGATGTACTTGCCTAAGAAAAGTTATTGAGGCATTGAACTCAGCGAATGAGCCCACAGCATCATGGGATTTTCAAACATTTCTCCCCTAGAAAGTGATCCAGGTGCATAAAAAGTGATAATCAGTGGGTGAGATGTCAGTACGTACGGTGATTGAATCACAATTTCGTAGCCCAGCTAGTGCAGATTCCGTAGGTTTGTTTGTGCGACGTACGGCCTAGCGTTACAGTGGAGGGAAATTGGCTATTTTCTGTTGACCAGTGCCTAACACTTGTTAATACCCCCGGTGTGTTTCGGGAATGTGTTGGAAATACTTCTCGGCTGTAATGATTTCGTGCGGATCCAGTGAGCTGTGATGGATCAAACCAGTCGTAGACACCAGTCACTATAAGCGCTTTTAAGGTCTAACATGTGTTTTGGATTTGCTTTGGAGCTTGATCACAGCTCATCCATTAAGCACAGGTCCTTGATTATTGTGAATGATCAACTTTCTTTGCACGTCAGGAACCGGTCGAGAGGCAGATCGTTTTTGGTTAAACCGCGTTATCAATTTTATATGTCAGTTGTACGCCCTAACGGCGCTTCGCTGCCGCGCGTGCACCACCATTTGTGCGCGGGCTGGGTACACCGCAAGGACGCCCACCCATAGCGAATTCGTACCCGTGACCTTGTGTTTGTAAGCCAGGCTCGCAGACCACTCGTCCACCGATCGGCAGCTAGCAAATATCCATGTAATTTGTGAAATCATTTGCTTACAAGGGAGTGGTAAGGGGAATTGAATGGTATAGGAAGTAATTCTTCACATGTCGGCTCACTCATGCAACCATTTAAAGCTTGGCAATAAACTGTACGGCCGTTTCATCGCTTCGGAAAATGTCAGCATTGCGCATTCCGTCTGACACCAGTGATGCTCGAACCCGCAGCTCCACTGTCTTTGTCTGTGATTAAGGCAACTGAACTACGGTGAGAGCAACTACCAACATGATTAAGTTACTAGATGTGGTATAGCGCTGCTCAATATCTACTGACTTGCACGTTACTACCGTGCAGAGGATAGTAGTCTGAACCCCAGACTGACTACAGTCCATTTGGATGTTCGAAATCCACAGGGACCATTTGGACTGCGCAATTCTGACGCCTCCCGGAAGGATGAAATGTTCATACAGTGCTTTTCCGAGCGAGTGATGCCCGTCTGACTGCGTCTAGATATGATGTATTTATTTCCTTCCTGATAACGTCTGTTTCAACATAACTGTAATTAAATGTAAGTGTAATGGATGCAACCGTACATTTTGTCAGATACTGAAAACAGCATACAAAGACTTATCTCTACCTATGTGGAAGAAACAGTGTTTCCATATACCACTCAGACCATGCAAATTAACATTAGTGAGCAGTTTTTGAAGTTTTCTGCCTAAGCTCTGATCGATGTTCTGTACATCAGCTCTCCTCCATAAGCACGTTTAAGCTGGTCCGTCACGCGTCGTCGTGAGTAAGCGCATATTCATTAATTTAGGTGTACTTATTTCGCTGATCTCAAAACGTTTCTAACCGAGGTGTATCAACAAGCGTAGCTGTTAGTAAGGCCGAACAGAAACCCTAGCCTCGGCGGCGTTCCATTTGCTAAAATGACAGTTGATTGCTTTGGTTCCAATGGCGCAAAATTACAGTAGCTTCCGCTGGTATTCATATATCTGTAGAATGTTGCTGTGCTAGTTTAGTAAAGCGTGTGTTTCAAATATATTAATAGAGAATACGAAGCGGTTGTTATCTGAACACCTTGTGATATTATTCTTACTGCGCCCATATTGCACAGAATAACTGTGGACCATCCCTGGTCCCTTCAAAGGGACCAATCAAATGTCTAAAGCTCAAAACGAAAAGCCGATTAACCATGCACAGGATTTACAGTTTCGCGTTTCCACTGTGATCGTTCTTTTTGTAACCAAGGTTGAATATCTGGCCTATATTTGCTTCTCACAATTGGTTAGGCACGCGCGCTGGTAAAGTAACGATTTGTCAGCCCGAACCGGCAATTTCCCTTGACTCTCCACTTGCACCGATGTAGATGTGTAGAGTGCCTGTTACAATACTTGCAGTTGTGGTGTGACTAAGATTAAAAGCTGCCCACTGCGATATATTTCCAGTGAACGGGGGCAGTCATAACTGTACGAAAGCGTCTGTTCCGGAGGTCGGCACAGTTTCTCTCAACATTTCCTCGTCCGTACTTTGGTTCTACTAACTCCATAGACCACAACTGAAAGCCTGCAAATGCTGATTAGTGTATGGTTTCCTCGGGGAAATTTAGTGACTACGCGAGAATGTAACATTAGATCAAATTCTTCTAAGTACATTAATTGGTCATGATGAAAAACATCGTACCGTACTTCGAAGCAAGCATTTTGCGAACTTCCTAGCAGAAAACAAACCGTAAAGGTGTAGGTCTAAATAGCATTATTCATCCTAAAATGATTGTTAAAAGAAATAAGCTCGGCATACTTGTGTTCGAGATTATACTTTATTTTTGTTCCTGGAACACGGTTATACTCTGGGAGTCTCATAACAATGGTAGCTAACGTACGATTTATTTGAAAATATCGCACTACCCTGCGTAACTGAATTTGCCTTGTATCGTTTAACAAAAGCACTTCAATTTGCTTTTCATTCATCTACTTCCTTTTGTTGTTCTTATTTCTAGTTAGCTCTGTCTCTTCGACGAAAATGAATACGCAGTGTTTAAATTGCGGCAGTTGCAAAAAGTCGCGGAATCAATGCTTAATCGTTGCTCTCAGTAAACGAGAATACTCCGATTGCCGCAGTTAGTAGATGTACAACTATTCGTGAGCTTCTGTAAGCTCATAAAAACAATCTTGACACATTTGCGAAATAACACCGTAGCCGTTCATAACGGATGGCAGAATAGTTTAAACCAGACTAACCAGGAACTAGGATCCTCTTTAGGGGAGTTTTATAGCAGCTAATCTCATACTTTACAAGAATCGAGCCAACGCTTATAGCTACGGGTTATATGCCTCATTCAACTGGCAGAGAGAACAAGCATTATTGCCTGTCACTGAGGACTGTTTGTCATCCTAGCTTTTAGTCAGTAATTTGTGAATTATCTGCTGTGTTTCGTATGAATATCTGGTTTCGCAGGTGCAGCAATATATGCTATCAGAAAACACGTCTTAATTGCTCTTACTTTGATATCACCTTCGTGTGAACAACCCCAAGTAGAGTTCTACTAAAAAGCAGATTTGAATCCAAGTTCCGTGGAAAGGTTCCTTGCAGCCGATCTCAGCCAGCCAGTCACCAGGTACCAAGAAATATGTCAGACGGCGTTCCTCCCCGTTCGGGCTTGTCGAAAATGTGGAATCATTAGATCCTACTGGATCCGGATTCATGTGTTGCAGTCACAGGTTCGTCATGACTGACTGCGAGCTGCGAAATACCGCAGGTTATACACAGCTGGTAAGGATATTATGAGCATGCAGAGGACGACGCAGAACCCTGGGCCCAAGAGAACCAAGCAGGTGCATGCAACAGAGGAGTCACAATAGGGGAAACATCGGTCCAATGCCTTTCCAGGTACATGCTGTCTGACTGTGTTTGTCTACAATGAGTCTTCTCCAAATGCAACAGACCACACGGTAGTCTTCAATGGCCAACTACCAGTGTTGAACACGCTGCACACTGTTTCAAGGGGTGGTCTAATAAATAAATTGTAGGCAGAAGTTGCGACTGGCAAATCTAACCTCAATCTCTCCTGTTTTTCGTGAAGCTTATTGGAAGGTCCAACTTCTACAGATGAATACTACCAAATCCCCACTCTCATAGCCACTGAATTTCCAACCGCATTAGTTGCTTTAGAAGCCGTGTTCCCTGTGCTCCAAACTCTTTATTAATCTATAACACCCTTCAGTTTTCGTAGTAGATACACCCAGGTGCAGTAATTTGATATAAACTGCAGTTTACTCTTCACTATGTCGAAGGCTCTCAGTGGACATTTTAAAGTCGTAGCTAATGAAACATGTCTATTGTTAAGTTTAACGCTGAGCGAAATTATGGACACGACCACAACAGCTATGTTGATCAGCTTGTAAGGAAATTGCTTAGAACATCCCTTGATAATTTATCAAAATGACTACGGAGAATTGCCTATGAGTAGTGTCTGGCGCACCCGTCTCATTTTTCTGGTGTTTTGCCTAGCTGGATCAATGAGAAACTGCCTGCGTGTGGCAACAATGCCGTGCAAAAATAATCGTCCACCCGATGGTATGCATAGGGTGCAAGGGCTTTTCAACTTCTTATTTAGACCACTGATGTCATAGTTAATTTGATGTGTCTGTTACCTCTATCAGATTTGATGTGAAAAGTCAAAATTAGTATATTACCGAAGTCACATATTATCTGATGATACGCCGCTGTATCTGCGTGGAGGTGGATGCCAACAAGATTAGCCAGATGCCAATGGATTACATATAGACACATTGTGCTTTGCCGTTAATACAAGTGGTTCAGTAGGATGTTGAATGATACTGAACACTGGCAATTTCGGGGAGGTGTGACTTAATTGATAGAGACAATTAAGAGTTATGAATAATGAACAATGAATTTATACGGGTTAGGAAGCATTTCATTACAACGCCCGGTGGATAATTGGTGGGGATATGAACACAACAATAATGATAAGAATGAGAGTAACACAGTTATGACTTTATATATGAAAATAAGGAGTTATGGTTCGCTCCGCTGTAGCCCTGCAATGCGCTTAGATTCACGGTACCCGCAGTTAACATCAAAAAATTCCATGGTAAATTCCGGGTGTAGGATGGAGACGTAGTGCTCTAAGTGACAAAATGTAAGTGGATGAGAACAAGATCCTACCGTGGAAGATACATAATAATAGTTTGCGCTGCCAATGTTAGTTCACTGGTCAACGCAAACGAAGGACAATTCTCTGAGTTAGAATATGAAACCAAAAGGCAAGTGTATCACGAATAGGCAACGAGTAAAATAAGATCACCGCAGGTTTCACGGGTAAACAGTTTCACTACGTAGTCCCATCAACTTGGCTTGAATCATGTCTTACAGCTGATGTAATACAACATCAATCCGAATTTCGGAAGCAGCTAACTTTTGAGTGGAGATGATCGAAAGCGGAATAATGTTCCGTGGCTGTGATGCACGAATCGAAAAGGGTTCCAGCGACATTCCAACCGGCTACACTGTGTGGTCAACTTCAACTGGTTGCCAGTCAGTGAGGTGTTTCTGCTGATTACCAATAAGCATCGGCGTGGATAGTTAGGATCCCAGATGAGGTCGCAACAAATATGAGACCACCTAGCAGAAGACGTACTGTTCGCTAAAAGATTACATAGCCTTTAGTTTAAACTGGTAAAAACAATATAAATTACTTTACAGGGGTTAAGAAGCACTGCTTTTGCAGCTCCGTTAGTTGGTCTGAGGAGTTATCGCAAAACGTTAAGGAAAAATGGTACTTTTACTATTGAAAGATTGGACCTATAATATTTTATGCAGTAACCCAACGCTCCGAGTATTACCGCAAATTCAATGGGGAAAAATGTAAATCCTAGATATTTCCCGGGAGTGGGATGGTCAGTATTGTCAAGTAACGGTATCTAAGTGGCGGAGTGCGTCATGCAACAGACTTTAAATTTGGCTAGTTTTGTGCAGAAACCACCGATTCGGAGAGATTATTTCATGGTGGACGCACGCGAACAGAAAGGAAATTCCTGTGGCGTTTCAGATGGCTGTACTGTTCAGCTAAGTTCCAGAAGTGACCTCTAATTTTGGTGCTGCTACTAAGTTGCGATAAAGAATGCACACATGATTTGGATGTTGCGTAATCAAGTATGCCATTATCAAGTCTCCTGGTAACCTGAGATATCGCTCGCTGTTTACTCCCATACGTTTCAGCCTCGGTTTGTATGAAAGATTGCGCATTTCATTTACACATATGAGAGCCAGACTTCGAGGTTGGTCCAACGCAGTGTGGTCGTGATTCAGCCACTGTGTATTGTGAGGTAGTTAAGTCACACCGACTTCTGCATTTTGCTGAATTGAATGAATTAGGTACTCCAATAACGTGGGCACCCTCAGGCTCGTCATGGCACTTGATGGCTGCTCGATCAGTGGGGGGAGGTATACGATAGTCTATAAATGTAGCAAATCCCTAGTGACAGAGGTGGGGGGTGTCCGAAGTGTAAAAGATTTTTGTATCAGTTTCTAATGTTGTACCTCTGATAGTGAAGTGGTGGTGATAAGTAAATATAAGTTGAGCTGGATGTAGGTTGTGCTTTGTGCTTGTGGGTACGAAAATGTTATCACCATGCTATTGTTTATTTCGGCGTTGCACTTACATGGATTTCATCAGGGCAATGTGTCTGGAGTTGGAGTCCTATACAGGAGTATCGTGGATAAATTTTGAGTCGGCATTCTGCTACATATCCCAATATGGGTTTTTATGATACACAGAGAAACCTGTAATCGTACACTTTGCCTCAACTGGTTTTGCTAGATATTTCCACATCCTTGTAGTGGACCCATCACAGTTGTTGAGTTTCGAGTGTTACTGGAAGAAGCTCTGAGAGGCTGCTTCCGCTGTATCGGTTTACTTCTTGGTTGGGCAGAGATAAGCCATTATTGCGCCATTTGGATGAGCATTATATTTGTCGTAAGTAATGAAAATACCATGACTGAGATTGTCGACTTAGGGTCGACAGATCGCAAGTAGTGCCATTGTCAATTTTGGTATAGGTTCGTAGAGCGGACAAACTAGGTGGATGTGTGATATATACGTGTCTCATAACTCGCTATATTACCAGCTTGGTTGTCCTTGATAGGCAAAGGCACATCATTACGGTTGTTGAAGAAGCTACTAGGAGTCCAGTGAAGACTAGAACGTGTCATCACCTACGCTGGATGATATTGTGAACTTGTCAAGGTCAAGCTTAATGATGCATGCATCCATACCGGTTCCACTGGTAGAAACATGCGGAGTTCGAAGGTCTGAGTGTCTATGATTCTGGGCTAGTGGCCTTTGAAGAGGTGTTTAATCATTCACCCATTGTGATGCAATTTCCAGAGTTGTCAACTTTGATTTCTTCGGCGAAATGAATGTGGGTGGATGGATTTCGGTTTTCTAGAGCGTGTGGGTGTCGTGTGGGCAATAGGACTTGATGTGATGCAGCCAGAACAGTTTTCACAAGTAGTTTGAAAACAGCATGTGTAGATCGAGAAATATCATAATGCAGGGGGTATTCAGACTATGAAAACAAACAGTGCAAAATGCTGAAGGCACTCCCAAATGCTGTACCTAATATCAGTCTAAGACAATGAAGCGTAGATTGGATTTGGGTGATTCAACTGGGCCGGAAAGCCTTCACAATAGAGAGAAATTGTGTGTACAAAGAATGGAGTTAACCTTGCGCAGTCTGGTGTAGACTGCGCAGTCCTGTAACACAGTTGCGTTGCTGTTCCTTTGGTACTCACTGATAGACCATACATGCTGATGCCATACTAAAATAATGGTTCGCGGCATCTGGATACAAATATGCCTGTCATTGTGGCCAGCCACTTGAGGCCTGCGCATACAGTGGGACCATGGGTAGCTTGGGCTGCACTATCCACTGCCATAACCAAACACAACATATCCAGCGTAAACCCGGAGGAATAAGACCGGGAGGCATGTGGATGGGAGCCACTTTCATCACCGGATCCGGCCCACACTCCCTCACAGCCAAACACAAGCACGCTGTATTTGGGGAATCAAGCGCACACAAGGCGGTGGCTGGAACGTG